GAAGGGCGTCCTCCTGTGTAGTTTAAAGAGGCTGTCTTGTCCCTCTTTTCCATGGGGAAAGTCAAGGGCACCTGCCCAAGTGCACAGTACCACTGAGACCCTTGGGGCAGGGCGTCCTTCTCGCTGATTTCTAGTTCCCCAACAGTCACTAGGTGTTCAGGAAACATCAGCCAGACCTGAGTCTTGTAATTCCTGCCAGGTGCCTTTTCTTTGAAACCGTTTGCTCTCAAACGTATTGGTGTGGATCACTTTCCAAAATGCCAGGACCCACCTGGGATTCTGATAGAACTGGTCTCTGTGCTGCCTGGATACTGAGATTTTTTAAAGCTCCTAGTAGACTCCAGTGTACAAGCCAGGCTGAGAACATGTTATAAATCACACGCTCCAGGCCAGTCCTTATTTCATCTCTTGGACGTAGGCTTAAGGGTTTGGGTCAACATAAAAATGGAGAAAGACCTTCAGTTCACCCTTGGAAATAAGCCGTCCACTTCCCACCTTTAAAAGACACAGAAAAGGACAAGGTTTGGAGATCAAGTTAAATGTCCAATTTATTTTTATAACTTGAAACCAGAACAAACTTGGTTTTGAACAAGCGTACAAATGAAATGGCAGACACATGCTAAACGCAACATTGTGACATTAAGGGAAAAAAGAGGCCCAAAATCTTGTACAGAGAATAAAAGGAACAATAAATATTTTTACTAAGCCATATTGAAATGACCTCCTGTCATCTCAACATTTTATCCATAATTAAAAAAAAAGTGCCTGTTTTTCAAACAGAGCACAAATACCAAGCAATAATAAATAGTTCCAAACTTGTAGTAAAAGACAAAATCTCCAAGTAAACAACAAAAGCTCATACAATAAGTAATAGAAAGGTAATAAAAATATTTCGCCTTGCCAGTACAAATGCAAACAACTGAAATCAATGGGAACGTTGCTTTGCAGGGCTGAGATAACGAAGAGCACCAAAATCACGGGTTTGCCTGTGTTCAACAAAACCTTCAGCTGAAAGGCCAGATGAAAGGCTGGTTTCCTCACTTTTCACATTTTGCTTAGAGAAATCCAGTCTCCTCTCCCTAGGAAAGACCCTCCAATGGCAAGTGGCAGGTTCCAATTGGGGGCAACTTTGGGCACAGTTGTGGCAGTATGGAACCCAGCCTGAGGTGGGCCGGGTCACCCAGGCTAGAGCCCTTTCACTGGGTCACCTGCTTCGGGTGGGTTTTTTTAAACACAGAAGAGAAGCAAAATTCTCTTCTCTCTGCAGCTGACAGAGACACACAATCCTTGTGCTTTAGGATGGCTTAGTCCTGGCATTCTGGTGACTTTGTGTGAGCTGGTGAGAGGCTCCCGAGCAGCTAACAGGGCAGAGGAAAGGCAGGGCAGCTCTGGGCCTTGGGGCAAGAATGGGACACTGGAACCTCAGAGCTTTGTCTCCACTCCCCCTCTCCCCTTGTAATTTTGCAAATGGAAGTGGCCAGGGGAAAGTGGCTAGAACAAGCTCCCAGAACAACTGGGAAGAAAGATCTCTGCATTTGGTAAGGAACTGCCCAGACAATGCATTGTTACACTTTCATAACCTGAAATGATGGTTTCTTACATTTCCTGAAATAAAAAATTGGCTTCCTGATATAGGTATTTGTTAAAAATGTATTATTCCCTCTTCCAAAAAACCACTTTATTATCTTAAAGCTACTTGGCTTTACAAAAAAAAAAAAAAAAAAAAAAGGGAGGGGGGGTGTTAGGAGGGACAAAGAGGGAAAGAGAAATTAAATAAAGATGAAATGAACAGATAAAGGACAGACAGAGGCTACAGGATGGAAGAGGAATGCAGAGGAAGGAGATACGAAAAGGCACCGAATTCATTCATCCCAGGCCCTTGCCATTCAGAAACTGACAGGATGGAGGTTTCAGAGCAAGAAGCAGCAACATAGGGAAGAAAAAACAGGCCAACCCTCTCCATGGATCGGAAGGTCCTGGTTTTGAGGGTTTCCATCCTCACATCCCACTCATACTGGCCTCGCTCCCCTGGACCCAGCTTCAACTAGGCTTTGCTTCCTGGTTTCACAAGGACTAACGCAGCTCCCTCCACTGCATTTCTCTCTGTTCTCAAGGGCTGGACAGGAGGTGAAGGTGGTGACCGCCACAGTAGCCACAGCAGAAAAGGAAGGTAACTTGCTCACTCTCCACTATACCTGCCACCCTACAGATGGCCTCTTACAGGAAGGGGGGAGGATTCTGGAATGTTACCGACATCTTTACAAAAACTGATTTTTCCCACTAACATAAATAAAGCATTTCCTATGCAGTCTGTGACGGCCACCCTAAGGAGCCCAGGTGTAAGGTTCGGAGAGTTCTGATCGAAGCCCAACGCAAACAGTTCTTTATGTAGGCCAATTCCGACAAAAATATATACAACTAAAATGATTTGTGAACCAAAGCATTGAACTACCTCCTTTTGTTTCTTTTTCTCAAGGATTGTCAAACAACCCTTCTTCTCCTGTACAATAGGACTTAACATACAAATTTTTTTTGCAATATTTTATCCTGCCAAATTAAAAAAATATATTATGGCAGCCTGTTTGTTTTTGTTTTTTTTTTCTTTTTATTTCCAAATTCACTAACAAAAAGGTACAGTAAATCCCTTTAAAAGGACAAGCTTACAGTTAAAAAATTACAAGCTCCAGTAAAAATACAGCAAGTGCCCACATCATATGAACCAACCAATATATCCATTCCAGAGGGAGGTGGGGAGAGAAAAATAAGTACAGGTCAGAAATGTGATTTTTTTTTCTGCAAAGCGATAACAATATTAAGCACTTTTTTTCTACATACTTTTTCTACATGGTGTAGCAACCCCCTTTTAATCCCCAAATACAAGTTTCTGTACATTTTTTTTTCGAAATAAAAATTCAACACCCAAGGCAGAAAAAAATTTACTAAAACTCCGACTTTACAGTTACTGTGACAAGAACAAATTTATAGACCCACCATTTAAATTTTACTGCAACATTTTCAAGAAAAAGAAAAGGGTTTTTTTTTTTTTTTCTTGTTTTGTAAAATGCCCAGGCATTCTCAATTATTACAAATACTGGTCCACTTTTACAGTAATCAAGAAATTTTAATATATATAATATATACTAAAACCCCGTCACCAAAAGAAAACAATATACACGCAGCCATTGTGGCAATTTTGTATAACCTATTAAGCAAACTTTGAAAAAAAAAAAGTGATCGCTCCAACACACATACACACAATTTTTTTACCCTTGTATGTATCCAATACTGTAAACGTATTTTTAAGACAGAGTGCACTAAATTTAACTTTAGAAAAAAATTAGTCGTTGTTCCTGAATTGTTTTTGTTTTGTTTTTCATTCAAAGATAGCGACTTGTGTCACTTGAGTTTTAATTCAGCAGTAAATCACCTCCACTCCATATCTAAGCAGCGTTGTCCCAAAAACAAAAGGGGCAGAGGATAATTCAGCTAACGAATGTCCAAGGTTGTGCTGGGTTTATTTCTTCATTTGATTGGGTCTTATGGCATTTTCATGTCCTCTCTCTTCAATCAGGATTTTTTTTAATTTAAAGTAAATGTGGCTTTGTTTCTAAACAATGTATTTTTCTTGTTTTACTTTTTTAAAAAGTCTTTTCACTTCAAAAAAAAAAAGTTTTGCATTTGTCTCAAGAGACTCAAATAGGAAGATCTGTTTTCAAGGCACTCACATCAAATTGAATGGCAGTAGAAAAACCGTCCAATAAATTACTATTTTATTTTGTTCTTTATAGTGCCAGTATTGTGAATGCCACGCTTACCAACACCGACACTCAGTCTCAGCTGTCCCTTACAGTTTAACCCACCTTTGGGCCAAAGACTAGAATATGCTGCAATTTCTTGTTTAGAAGCCATTTAATTTAAATGCAAACAAAAGCTTTAAAGTGCGGGTCAACAGAAGTCAAATGCCTAATCGGAGCAGTCCAATGTTTAGTACCTTGCAACCTAATCTGCGAGAAAAACAAAAACAAAACAAAAGGCCTGGGCAGCAGCGCTGGCACCTGCGGTTGGAACTCTTTCCTTGCTCCTCCAGGAAAACGGACGCCCACAGGACCCCACAGGACCCTCCCAGCTCATCAGCGCAGTGAGTAGGAAAACTAACTTCCCCACCCGCCATCAGGGCCTTTGCTCGAGAAGTGACGGATTATCACTCCTAGCAACACACACCTGGGGCTTATAGGGTGGAAGTGGGAAAAAGAGAGAAGCCAGAAAAGAACACTGCTGGTTCCTTCCGTTCTGTGTCACTGCAGGCCACCACCACTGACCCAGTTAGGAAGCCTCGGCCCATTTATGCAGCCACGCCTACAGCCAAGAGCAGAGGACACAGCAACATGCCCGGGAAAGGGCAGCATCTGCAGGCAATGCAGAATTGGGGAATGTTCTCTGTTCTTCCCAGAGGAGCCCTGGAAAACAGTTTCTCTGGGTACTGAGTGGGTGGGGTGCCCCCATCCCCCTCAAAGTTTTCCTCATAGTACCTGAAAGTTGTAATCAACACAGAAAAGGCCTCTGTGACTCAGGACGTCATCAGTGCTACATCTCCATTCCAATTCTGAAACAAAGTGCTACAATTTTAAAGATTGTTATCGCTGTACATCCACCCACCCACCCTCCCAAAAAATAAAATTAAAAAAAGCCCCAAAACCACATGCCACTTTTTATTTCAGGACAGAAAAAAAAAAAAAAAAGGAAGGAATAAAAAAAGTAAACAACTTTAAAAGTCATTTAAGTGTTGGCTTCTTCACAAGAAATTACACATGCTTAGCTTAAAATTTCAAAAAAGCAGCGCCCCCCCAAATTATAATTTAAAAGATATGCTTCCCGTCTACATTGCTTGCGAGTCATTTCTCAGACTACCACTGTTTTTTTTTTATTAAAAAAAAAAAAAGGGGGATGGATACCCAACAAAATCTTTCAAAGGAATTTAAACAGAAAGAATAATAATAAAAAGTACCTGCACATGCCAAAAAATTACAAAACCCAATAAATACAGAAATTATTGCACAGTTAAAAGGCTCCACAATTTTTACTGCCTTAATCAACCCTCGGGTTTCCATAGGACTTCTCAGACACAGGTTAGGTTGGAGTGTCGCCTCCCCTGGGCCCCGGGGACGTGCGGGGTGCTAAATGGCGGTGACACTGAGGCAAGTCAGGTCAGCATTCTCTCGCTTGGCAACGGTTCCACTGTACAGGTGCGGGGCGCCTGGCCCACGTGCGCTTAGCTCCTCTCGGCCTGCTCGATTTTGACGTCGTTAGTCAGCAAGTGCTCGCCGTGCCACTTTTTCATGTGTTTCTCCAGGGTGCTGTAGACGCTGAAGGGCATCTGGCAGATGTCGCAGCGGTACACCTCTTTGCCGATCTGCCCGTGCGTCTTCATGTGGCGCGTGAGCTTGCTGCTCTGCGCGCACGCATAGTTGCACAGCTCGCACTTGTAAGGCCGCTCGCCGGTGTGGCTCCGTCGGTGCACCGTCAGGTTGCTGCAGTTCTTGAACACCTTGCCGCAGTACTCGCACGTGTCGCTGCGCCGGCCCTCCTTGGAGCTGGGCCGCCCGGGGCCCGGGCCACCCAGATGTGGTGTGCTGCCACCGCTGGCCGTGCCGCTGCGGCCCGAGAGGCCACCGTCCAGCAGATCCCCGGGTGGCGTGGAGAAGCGCAGGCTGCCGTTCTCAGACGAGTGCTCGGACGACGTGGCGAAGGGCGACTGGCGCGCGTCCGTGAAGCCCAGGAAGGGGTCCTTCATGAAGTGCCGCGATGCCGCGTAGCCCACGAGCCACTGCGAGTACACATTCTCCGACGGGATGAGCGCCGCGGGTGGCAGCTCCAGGTCCTTCTCCACCTTGATGCGCTTGGCCGCGCTGTTGAGCCCAGGGCTGGGCAACGGCGCGGGCTTGCGCGGGAAGAGCCCAGGAAAAGGCTCAGCGCCTGGTGCGAAGCCCCCGCCACGCCCGTTCACCGTGCCGCCGGCTCCTGCGTCACCGCAGCCGCCCGCATCGTCGTCGTCACCTGGGTCGCCACCTCCGGCCGCGCGCTTTAGAAAGGCGCCACGCTTCTGCTTGTCGGCCAGCAGGTCGCCATACTGCGGCAGCGCGCCCAGGCCCACGTTCTCCATGACCTTGCCCAGCACCAGCGCCTTCTCATCCGCCAGCGCCTTAGCCGCACCACCCACGCCACCGCCAGCTCCCGGCACCACGGCCACGCCACCACCGTTCTCCCGGTTGCGGCTCAGCTCCGAGTCCATGCTGAAGCTCGACTCGGGCCGGCTCTCGTTCTCCAGCAGCAACTCCTCCTCTTCCTCTCCTCCTCCTCATCCTCCTCCTCGGGCTCGTGGCCCAGCGATGGGTCGCTCTCGTGGTGGCGGAAGTCACCATCGGCCGCCTTGAGGCCCTCGCCGGCCAGCTCGCTGGTGCCAGGCTCCGGGGAGCTGGCAGCCGAGAGCCCGTCGTCGGAGCGGCCGGCCAGCGAGCCGGCCTTGTGCATGTGCGTCTTCATGTGGCGCTTGAGCTTGCTCGCCTGCGAGCACGCGTGGTCGCACAGCTGGCACTTGTAGGGCTTCTCGCCCGTGTGGCTGCGCCGGTGCACGATGAGATTGCTCTGGAATTTGAAGGTTTTGCCGCAGAACTCGCACGACTTGCTCTTGGCCGGTGGCTGCGGTGGTGGCGTGCCGCCGGGGGGCATTGGGGGTAGTGGCGGCGTGCTCAGGAAAGGGGACTTGGGGCTGGGCTGGAAGGGGTTCAGGAGCCGGTGCATAGGGTTGCCACGGCCCGGCGACACGGGCGGCGGCGTGGAGCTGTTGCCCGCCAGCTCGCGGAGCCGCCGCGAGAAATCCATGGCGGGTGAGTCAATGGCCATGGGGTTCAGGCGCATGACTCGGTCAAAGGCACTGGGGTGCTGGGCGACAAGCCCCATCTCCTCGGCACTGAGGCGGTGCGGGTCCAGGTGGTGGCGTGGTGGTGGGCTGAAGAGCGGCGGTGTGCCGGGCAGGCGGCCCTCTCCAAAGCCCGGGTGGTCCCGCAGGATGGGACCTGTCATGCGCAACAGGTTGAAGGGGTTGCTGTCGCCCAGGAAATTCATGAGAGGGGACTGCGCCACGGCCTCGGGCCCGAGCGGCGGTGGGATGGTGAGCCGCGGCGTGAGCGAGCTGCTTGCCGGCCCAGGCTCCAGGTAGATGCGGAAGCCGTGTGTGTTCTGCGCGTGCTGCAGCAGGAACCACGCGCTGTTGAAGGGCTGCTTGCATGTTGTGCAAATGTAGCTGGAAGGCTCATCTTTACCTGGGGACACAGACGGACAGAAAGAAAGAAAAAGCGTGAGAAGTGGCAGGGGGCGCCGGATGGCAGGGCCACTGAGCTGGAGGCCCATGGCAGAGGTGGGCAGGCCTCGGTCTTTGGCCACCAGGCTGGGCAGGAAGATGTGTGTGCAGGTGGCGCTGGCGACTGGACCCCAGCGAGTCACTTCTATTTCTAGGCCTGACTTTGTTCTTACCTTCATCTGAGAGGTCAGATGAGAGGTGCAGGTGACAATGCCTAGTTCCAATAACACACACAAGTTACATTAAGGTGAACTATGTGAAGACAGTCGGTGGAAACCTCACCCAGATAGGACTCTTTTTTCACACCCAAACCACCCAGACCAGGACTTCTCAACCAAGCACTGTCCACATTTAAAGCCCAGTAATTCTTTGCTAGGATGAGGACTGTTCTGGGCATTACAGGGCCTCCTCCATCCTCCAACAGTGAAGGCCAAAACATCCGAAGACATTATCAAGTGCCCCCTCCTCCCCTTGGGGACCACTGACTCAGACAACGCTTAATTGACTCAAGGAAGTTCTACAAAAACAAAAATCATACTTATTGTCAGGCCCACACTTTTTCTTTAAGAGAAATGGCTGTGATACTCCTACTACGTTTGGGATTTTAGCCACAGGAAATCACTGTTTCGTGCACTGTAGACACCTTCTACTGTGTGACAACTGTCCCACCCTGTGTCCTCACACACATACACCCCAGTGTGGAAATCAGCGTTCACAGACCCCTGGCAAAGTGGCAGACACTGGGAAATTTTGAAGTCCTTTGCCAGAATTCTAAGAAATGAAAGTCAGTGGCCAAATCCCACAGGGCAGTCAGGATGAACAGCTGCAAATGCCGATTTGTTAGACTCTGGCTCTGGCAACAGCACCAGCAAATTGCAGTGGACACTGGTGGCACTGAGCCAACATGTCACGGTCTTTGTCCATCATTTAGGCAGTCACAAAATGGAGGCTGAACCTTTCATCTGGCACTGTCTGGTGGCTGCCCTCCTCAACCTCAGAGTGAAGCTGCTGCCCTGCCAGCCAGAACTCTCCTAATGCTTTACAAGAGAGAGACAGGTGCGGACAGACCCTGTCTTCCATCGTTAGATGCACAAACCAGGAAGGAAAAAGGAACAAGAATCCCATCCCAGACCCAGCACAAGACAAGGAAGCTGCAATCTTGGAAAGCCCATTTTATTTTTTTCAAACTTCCCTGTATCTGGAAGATTTTAATACCAATATTAAAGTTAATAGCTGCAAACTCCCGGGTTAGTAGCTACAAATTCCACTACTAACTATTAAAGTTAGTAACGTGTAACGTGCACATTGTTACAACCCCATATCAGTAAGGTGACGGACAGCAAGCCCCCATCCTAGACACTCCACCAGCCTGTTTAAGGACTTCTGCAATCCCATGCAGTCAGCGTCTCATTTTCCACCCACTAATTATGTTTCTGGAAGGCTGTGCCCTTCACCGTGTTTGCAGCCACATAACTGTTCTTTGGAAACTGTCTTTTAAAACCACGTGACTCAGGGACCAAGGACCCTGAATTTCCATCCCAGAGCTTCAGTCTCCAATGCACAACCTTTCTCTTGAATTAGGTCTGCCAGCCTCAGGGCCAGGCCCTCCCAGACAACCCATGTATATGATGTCACAAAATAGCTTTGTACTGACCATACAACTAATGGGACAGAGCACCCAGCAAGAGAAACCAAGCATGAATTATTTTAGTCTCCACTTTCACTGTGTGTCTGTTTGGTGGCGGGAAGACAGTAAGAAGACAGGACAGAACAACTGAAAGAGAACTTTTGGGGGCTAGTCTCTTTCTCCAGTATACCAGGGCCTTTCCCTCTGCCAGCAAATCTAGGTGTTTCAGCCCCCCAAGCACGAATGGGGAACTTAGCCCATGAGGCCTCACAAGGTCCTAGGAGGCCATGGGGCTCACCTTCAGGCTCAGTGAACAGAGGAGAAGTAGGGCCTCTCGGTGGCACCACCTCCTATCCTCAACTTACTTAAAGTCGTGTTTGGGGGGACAGGAAGCTTTACTTCAGACAGCTCACAGGAGAGCTGGCCAGAAGCCATGTTTAGACTCCTCACATTTTTGTGTGTGTGTGCAAGACAGAATAAATAAATAACAAATAAGAAAAGAAAGAAAAGTCCCTTTCAGACACAGGAGCTAATAACACAAATGAAGTGTCATGTCCTGCGAGGTCACAGATCTTCAAATTAAAGAGCATTTCTGTACCCTTCACTGGGCTCTAGCCACTCCAATTAATCAATTTACAGCACATAGCTGCTCTTCATATGTTTAAGCCAGAACCCACCCCGAACCTCCCATCTCGTTTCCTTGGGCAGCTCCAAGCATTCCCTATTTCTTGACTTGGTGATCACACGTTTTCTAGAAAGTGGCTAGTGAGGAAAGTGGCTGTCAAAGGAAAATGCAGAAGACCAAGATAGGCGGGGAATAAAGACTGCCCTGTGGCTGAAATGGCTGATTACATTTTTTTTTTTTAAACTCAAAATGGCAGCTGCTGGGAAGCGTGTACCTACATGTTCTAGAGCTCAGATGTTTCCACTTCTTGTTTAAAAAAAAAAAAAATTCTAAAACTCTAGCTTGGAGGAGCGCAGGGAGGAAGTCACCGTGAGGTGTTTATTCATCGAGTGAAGTATCAAGGCCACATGTCATGCCAGGTAATCACTTTCCTTACCTGAGCCCCTGAATTGCTTTGGTTGGAAGACCTCCTTCCACAGAGTGGGAATATTCACAGCAGACAATGGACTCCCAGGAGCTGACAGCTCCTTGGTTTTTAAAATCCTCCTGGTTCTCAAAGGCCCTCCCAAGACAACTCTTTCCACCTCATTGTCTTCTTCTAATAAATGTTCACTTCCATATTATGATTTCATGGTTCTCTTGCTTAGAAGTAGCCCAAAGCATAGGGCTGCTCACTTTTAAGACCAGAACAACATGTGAAAGTCTTTAAAGAACCACTTGGAACAAATTTTTATTCAAAAACACGATAAATATTTTTTTAAAATGCTGCAGTCACAGAGAGCTCACTTTTAAATACGGCAGATCTTTAGATCGTGGGCGGTTTCTGACTTAGGGCTGGGCCCACTACCCTTCCTGGACCGAAGGTTTCCTTGTCATCATCCTCTCCTCCTACCCGGGGCCCCCTGCCCACAGGTATGTGCACACAGCACAGGGTGACTGCCCTGCTAGTGGCCCAGGCAGGATGGACTTGTGCCCATGGCCACTTCATCTGCTGCTGGGATTCCAACTGATAGATGAAGGCCTAAGACTATTTAGAAGCAATTTACCCACAAGCATCAAACCTGGCCTACAGACCTGAAGTGTCACCTGCATTCTGCTTGCTAAAACATGCATCGTTCCTTGTTTGCTTGATTCCTTCTTCCTTCCTTTCTCAGATCTTTTGTGTCAGTGGGCAGAAACCCACCCTGGATTTTCTTTGCTCTGTTGGCTCTCAAAACATCTCCATGCTGTCATATGTAACCCTCACCCCTACCCCACCCCGAATCTCTGGGATACCTCTGCCTCCTTTCCAGAAGGGTGAAGCCAATCCAGCCCTGTAAACTCTGACACTCGATCTCATCTGTAGAGCAGGAATAACACACGAGCCTCCCAAGAGGCTGGGGAACTTCATGAGACCCTGTCCCTATAAATTGCACGTGGCTAAGCAGGTGCACAATGGGTTTTGTACATTTCACTTTTTGCTATTATTCATCCTTGTACCTGGCCCATGAGTGTTTCAGGGATGCCTTTCGGTGTAACTCTGGCAGTAATAAAACCATCATGAACTACAAGTTCCAGGAAGTAGAAACTTGCAGATGTTGAGGAAAAATGATTTTTTTTTTTATTGTGACGCTTGGGAACGGACAGGAAACTGGACTCCACAATGAAATGTTACTTTCCCTCTGCTATTTGGCTTTTTTAATGAGTGATAAATAATTATTCTTCCTTACAACACCAACTACTGTAGTAATACTAATAAATTTCAATTCAACAAAAGCACACCCTTTGCTGGGTGCAGTGATGCACACCTGTAATCCTAGCTACTTGGGAAGCATATTTAGGAAGATCACAGTCCAGACCAGCCTGGGCATAAACACAAGACCCCATTTGAAAAATAACTAAAGTAAAAAGGGCTGGGAGCACAGCTCAAGTGGTAAAGCACCTGCTCAGAAAGCTCAAGACCCTGAGCTTTCAAACACCAATACCACCAAAACCAAATTTTTTTAAAATCACAACTTTGAGTTATTATTCAATGAAAAGGACATAATTGAGATGGAAGGGCATTCCAGAGAGTGAGGGATTTCGTGGCTCACTCTGCGTAGGCAGGGAACTGGGTCTTGGGTTTGGGTTTGGGTTTGCAGGCCCCTCCGCACTGGCTCATTTCATGTTTTCCTACCATGATGCCTGAGGGAAGCCAAGTAAGGCTACACCCCTGCCGGCACGTGAGAGCATGAAACTTAGAGAAACAAAGTCACACAGCCAAAACATGGTAGGTCCACTCCCACCTGTAGAGTCCCAACCCTCTCCAGGACCCCAGTCATGTCTTGGCACCCACCACCCACCACCCAAAGGATTTATCACCCACTCTGCACTTGTCAGGGTCTGTTTCATGATGACAGTGCCCAAGACAGAGGGAGTCTCCTGCTACACTGTGTGTCCTCTGATGAAAGGACAGTGATTATCCTTAGATGAACCCCAAAAGGTCTACCATGGGCCTTGACCCTGGAGAGGAGAAAAGGCTGTTTCACAGAGCCAGAGAGCCTGTTAGGGGGGCTCAGTGAAGAAGCAATGAGATGCTAAGGTGATGAACTCAAGGGCAGGAAGCCAGATCCCAGGGTGCCCTGGGGCAGATCCGTTCTCTTCTCTGGACTTTGGGATACCCACTCCAAAGCAGAGGACTGGTTTTGCTGGACTACCACTTAATCTTGTCCACAATCTCCAGCAACAAAAACATAAATAATAAATAAAAACGGTCTCCCCTTTCATGATATCCGAAAGAAAATGTCCACTGGGCACCTTGGAGGTCTATGGAAGTTTCAAGTTTATATTATTCTT